GGGGGAGCCTGTCGGGAAAATCTGATAGCTGTCACCTTTGTGCTACCACCGCATGTGCGAGGAATTGCGTTTGGCTGCGACACGTATCAGTGTGCTGGCTCAGCTGGCAATGAAACTGGTCCCCGTCCCTGTGGCTGAAGGTGAAGGAGTTTGGGGAACACAGTGTCCTGGTTGCCCCCAAAGCTTCGTGCCTGGGAAGAGAAGTTTCCACAGTGCTGAGGCTCAGCCCTGTGTGTATCAACCCCTTCCTGCTCAAATCCTTTTCCCGTCCCTCCCAACGCCATCACCCGTGTTTAGGGACTGGTGGTTGGGTTTGGGAGGCCCCAGGTTGGCAGCAGGTCAATATGAGATGCTCAGCTGGTGCCTTCCGGAGCGCAGCACCCAGCAGACAGCCAGTCTGCTGTGTCCGGTGCCAGATCTGCTGGGAGGGATGTAATAAATTATGCAATTTGTATATTGATGAATTTAATACTGACCAGGACCCATCTCAGCCCTGTGGTGATGTGTTACTGGCCCGGCAGCGCCGGTGTCAGGGCTGAAGCGGCAGGAGGGGAGCCTGTTGTCGTTCCGGGAGCTGAGCCGGCTGGCAGCCTGTGCTTGCTGCTCTGCCTCCCAGATAAGGCTTGCCCAGAAAAAAATTACCCTTTTTTAAAAATAATTTTAAAAAGATTGGCTTCTTTTGGGCAAAATCAGAGCCCAAAGTGCCAAGGGAGCAGGGCCAGGGCTGCAGAGCATGCCGCGAACACGGGCTTTCCCCGTCTCAGCAGCACAGAACAGCAGTGCCACAGCTCAGTGTGGCACAAAGGTCTCGGGAGCGAGTGCCAGCTGCTCTTGTCCGCAGCCATGAGTCTCAGCAGCCCTTGGGGCATTGCAGCCCCATGTCCCCCCCAGTGTGGCTACACACCACCCCTGCAGCCCTGCAGGCGGATATGATTGCAGTTCTTTGTGGAGAAGCTCGGATTTGCTGCCCCTCACCTAATTTCCCTCAGGTGCCTGACCGGAGCACCATGGTCCCAATCCGGAGCTGGGTCCCCTTCCCCTCCGATGCTGGACTCCACGCAGAGCGAGGGCTGGGGCAGTCCCAGCACCGAGATGAGTTTATTCCCCGCACATGGCCCCACCACGCTTGTTTGTTCATCCAAGGGTGAGCATGAAATGACCTTGAAATTTATAGGCTGAAGAGAGCAGTGAAATAACAGCTAAAATAAACAAATCAAGCTATAAAGCTTGAAAACTATGAACTGGCTTCAACAAATTGGAGTTGGGAGAGAGAGAAAGTGGAGATGGCCTGGAGAGATGTGGTCTTTGGGGTCTCAGCACGAGCTCAGAAGCTGGACGCACCAAGGGTTTGACCCGTGGGCACGCCTCTGTCCCCACCACAGTTCGGTGGCACCGGGGAGGTGCCCGCTCACACTGTGCGCACAGGGGTTCGGTGCAGCCCTCCGAGTGTCTACCAGGCAACTCAAACAGCCAAGGGGAAGAGCAGATGGAGAGGGCATGGGACTGCACGGCTGCTGGCCTAAACACCAAATCCCATCCAAATCCAGCCTCTCGTCTTTCAAGTGATCTGAGTGCCCCGGCCGCCTGCACGTGGTTCCTTGCCCAGGCTTTAGCACCTCGATAAAAGATGGTCCTTGAAAAGGAGCATGAGGCTAATCCCAAGTGCCAGGCGAGCACCACGTGTTGGCTCCAGAGTGGTGTGGTGCCCAAATGAAACCTGAACTGGTCACCCTGCTCTGTAACTCCCGGCTCCGGGTTCCACTTCTCCCTCAGGTTGATTGTGGACAGCAGCAGATTTGCTGGGAACAGTTAGCGTAGGGGATGAGGGAAAGGGGACTCAAGAGCCTGTTGAGCTGGATGTAATGGTCTTGTTTGAGCAAGGAGCCTCACAAGGGTTGTCTTCTCTGGAAAGCAGAATTTGAATCCCATCCATCTCTTCCCCTCCCTTCAGCTTCGTCATCCCATGGCAAAGCTGCCCCAGTTGCAAGCTGGGCGCTGCTGGGCCGGGTTGCGTTCTTCTCTATAGACCAAAACAACCCAACGATCCCTGCAGCCCCCTAAGGTCAAGGTTGAGACCCTCCCCAGCGACTGCGGGTCCCCCATGCTTTGGGCAGCACGGCAGATTTTCC